CCCCCCCCCCCCCCCCCCCAAAAAAAAATAATAATAATAAATAAATAATTCAGCAAAAGGGGACATTTATGTTTATAGACATCAAGTAACTAGCAGAAAGTTTTTTTTTAAAAAAAAAATTAAACACCATAAGGTTGGATAACCAAAATGTTAGTCATAAATTGTACCAACATACAACATGGATATAATATTATAATATAATGGTACTGCTGTGGAAAACCAGGGTCACTTTGGCACAAAATCTAAATGATTTAGTCTAATGATGCTAGTCAAATTTTGCAGTAAACGTTATAGAAGTAACTCCACCCCAAAACTATGCACTTCTATATCTTCAATAAATGCTCTGAATGACTTACTCCAATACCCATGGGCATGCCTGGCATACTTGGTACAGTAGTTACGTTAGTTGGGAAGTAGAAGGAACTATCAGACACTGGAGTGGGGGGCCGTGTAGGCGACGGAACAAAACTCTTCGCATTAGGGTTAAGCTTGAATTCCTTATAACATTAAATGGAAAACAGTGAAGAGGAAACTCAGATATATGTCAATATTATAAAAGACCAGAATCAGCTAGTGAAAAATATTCCTTTTTCAAAAATTAAATCTTGAACTTTCACACCTTTGCATTGGGGTTGAGAGTCGATTTTTCAGAAGACAGTGAGCCAACTGATGAACTTGGAGATAAACCAGGACCAGAAGATGCTGCCATGCCTCCAACCAAGTCTGACCCAGATGGTGTCCCACGTGAATTTACAGATTTTGTTTCCCCATTAGCCTTGTTAGATGCAGAAGCCTCAATCAGATCTCCATGCAATCCCATCTTCTCATGAGTTTTTGATGAAGGGGCATAGGAGCTGGCAGCATGAGATAATACCCCTTTATCAGAGCCATCCTTCTTCAAGTAGAGTGGTCCCTGTGAATCTGCACCAGAATTTGCTAAGATTAGAGGAATACATATACGATGAAAGAAGCAGCCACCAATATTAAAATGTAGGTGATAGCTGCCATTCAGGAGTACTGAAAGTACCAACAGAAAGCTTTAGCACTTTCTTAATAATAAACAGAATAAGCATTTATATGAGAACGGTTTAGTTTCATTTGGCATCATTTCAGGCACAACACTTTAGATCGGCTTAAATTGTGGAAGCTAATAAAATATCTCACAGACCCTCATATTTTGACAGTTGAACATCCTCAGCTTGCTGCATCAATTAAGGAAAATAAGAATGAGATTTGGGAATGTTAGAACTAGTACCAATCGCATGGGATATTTACGTAGACACAAACTTAATTAGCAAAGCAGAAACTTCAACTCACAATCAGATTTTCTTCCTTGGTATTACCATTGTCCCCATGTTGATTACTATTTGGGGTCTCCTGAATCCTGTAATGTTGTTCGATATGAAAAATCATAATAAAGATGAAATTTATACTTTTAAGTTCGTAAATGACATATTGTGGAAAACAATAAAAAATTATTACATAGGAAACAAGTATATACAGAACATAAAAGGGCAACAAACACCTGCTTCCCCCATCCAATGATGAGTAACTTTTGGCAGGCAGTTCAGATGCTAACTGCATCACATGATCATAAGAACCAGAGCGGATTAAATCCACCCCAATAGTTGATTGAGATGATTGTGTGTGATCCTGCACACATAATTAAAAGGAGGTACTATGGTGAATATAGAGAGTAAAATAATTACTTCGTAAGAGAGGGAGAGGAAAGGGCAAAATCTTTAAAATTAACACTGATATCAACATTTTCCCGACAAGACTTGGAATTGTTGGATGCTCAAATTGTACCAATTTCAAAAGCATAAACTAGAGATTGCCATAACACTTTCAAATAGAATTTAGAGATGAACACATAACTCAAAATATAGTCACATGCCTGATTTTTTAATATTTTCTAAAGAAAATTTTACTAATCTTGTATCCACTATCATTAATCAGCCACTGTCATTAATCAGAAAATTTAAATGATTTCTCTCACCAAATTAATTTATTTCACCCACATTTAAATTTTCACAACAAAAAAAAATTGGCATATAATAATGTAATTTTACTTTGATATTCACTAGTATTTTGACACAGCAATATTTAATATATATTACCATGACATCCTCTCATTAATTAAAATAAAAGCAAAAAAATATTGTATCAAACCATTTGTGTTGATATAAAATTTCTTCACACTGATAATGCATACCAATTAAATTAATTAAAGAAGCATCCAGAGTTGAAATACCAATATACATGCATGAATGCATGATACACTTTTACAGCGTTAGCTATCCAGCAATATCATTAAACTCCAGAAAAGTTAGCAAGTTTTTAGCTCCAGCAAGACTAATAACAGTCAGTCTGACTACTAATAATTTAAAACACAGGACCAAAAAATAGAAGCAGAGTAGGAGACAACCAACTATTGTCTCCAATACGTGTTTGGTTCAGCTTATTTTGAAGAAATGATCATTTATTTTAGCCAACATTTTGAGAGAGCTTCTGAAAAAACAACTGTTACTTAACTTCCATTTCAGTGCATGCAAATTTAAATAAAACAATAAATAAATACCTAAAAATCCTAATTTGATGCTTTATCTAGGGTTCAAATGGGAGTAATATTGAGAGTTTAACACCCATACAACATAATGCCTTCTATGGCATTAATGGCTGCAATGTTTTGGGAGTTTAGGGGCATACAAAAGCTACTACATTGTAACAGAGACTGCTGAAATGACACTAGTACAAGAAACTATTTCAAATCAGATGTGAGGAAGTTATCATAGATCATGAAAGGGTTTTTATAATTGTTATTTTTTAAGACACAAATCAGATGGATTTTGATTGGTACTGATTATATTTATATTCTTTTGTTTCTGAGATCTAAGATGAAATGCTAGTTATATTTATATTTATTCATTTTTTGTAAATAAACAATACAATGATTTTATTGAAATAGTTAAACCAAACACATTTTCAATATTTTCATTTTCTGAAAATAGAAAATAAGAAGTTAAACCAAACGTATTTCAAAATTTGAAAATTAAAATTATTTTTAGAATATGTAATCAAAAAATGAAATTAGAAAACAGTTTCTAAGACCCTAAGCAATTATTTTTCCAGAAAAAGTCTCTTCATAACCAAAGATTTTCCAAATGCATGAAAATCTAAAAGAAACTATTTAGTTAAAATAAGGTACACACACAATAATGTAGTTCTTAGAATTTGGGTTTAAAACCTAATTCAACTTTACAAAACTAGCTTATTAGATGAGAACTATCAACGTCTAAATGCCATATCTCTAATCATTTGTTGGTCATATCCCTAATCCATGAGATCTCAACAGTAGTATTTAATGATAAAAAAAAAAAGGACAAGCTAGTACCCTCCAAATGTGACAAATGATAAAGAATTACTAAATGCCACAATTTTAATAATTAAACAATGGATTGAGGTGATACCATGGAGGAGGAATTTAGCAATGTTTGAGCCCCATCATTTCCTTTTCCACTACTTATTTCATCAGACCTCTTATCAATCGAGCCAAATACACCACCAAAAGTTTCAGAATTGTGTGAATCAAACAGTATGTCTTCATCAAATCCACTGTCATCAACATGTTTACCCCTATAGACTGCAGAGAATCTAGTTTCTTCATCAATGTCAAAGTCTTCATGTAAGTGAAGGCCTCTTTCCTGTTGATAAAGATTGCAGTTTAAAGAATTCAAATAGACAATTAAACCAAAAACAACAGAAACTCACAAGCAGCAAAATAAAAATGAGAACAAGAAAAGCATTCAAGCCACTCTAACCTCTGCAAGATGAAGATCTTGGGTTTCCTCACCCTCAATTTCTCTTGCTATTCTTAGAGCTTGTTTTTCCAATTCTCTTGTTTGAGGCCCCTTTTCAAGCTTTGTTGTATAGAGTTCCTCATTGAATGTGCTTTTAACACCAAACAATGTCTCGTTTGTTTCAAACTGGTCCCATCCCCTTAAAAAATACAAAAAAATGAGGCCAACGTAAATAAATATGGAGATTCTGTGAAAAAATTGAAATTAGGAAAAGAAAAGAAAAAGATGAAAAAAATGCATATAAAATAATCGTAGTATTGTAGTGAATTCCATATACTCACTCAAACCTCCCTTAATAATTAAAGATATACAACAAAAATCCTATTTCCTTTTGCTACATCAAGAACATATTTATTGCCAAACTGTGCCAATGACCTTTTGATAATTCCTTGGGCAACATTACTTAGTTTCCATAAATGATTATGGACTGAAAGCCCAAAAATATACTGGAGGCAACACAAGAAAACAAACAGAATATCTATAAATCGTCAGACAAAACTTTCGTAAAATAAGATCCCAAATAAAGGTGAATGATCCTTAAAAAAAAATGGTTCCAAAAAGTCTTCAAGAACAGGAAACACATAATCATACATTCATACCTATATTTCTTGGTTTACGTTTCAAGATACTCAAAATCAAGTCTTAATCATAAAAACACAGGAGAATTTTTGTCAATTAAAAAAATGGAGAAAGATTGTAGACTAAAAAATCCCAATTTTATAAAGAGAATAAAAAGATTGTTGTCAACTCTGAAATCTACCACTTACAAGTTACAACTGAACTCTTATTTTAAAGAAAATTCCTATTGTAGACTAAAACCACAGTTTAGTCCTATAGTTTCTCTGCCTTTTAAACAGAGAATAAAGGCAACTAACTGTGCATATGGGCATCAAAATGTTAAACAAAGTAATATTGTTCACAATTTATTTTATAAAGGAAAAGAACCTATTCCACCGGCCATCAAATGTGTTTTCCAGTCCGGGGCATTGTGGATCATCTTCATCAGGTACCCAGGGTTTTAATTCTCTCTCTAGCTCAACGTGACGAGATTGAGATATCAATGAATCAACCATGATTTCCTGATGCATATCGTGGTGAGATTCATTAGGTAAGCCATCCCTGGAAATAGCAACATCCTGCCATGATTTACACACCAAAAATTTCATCAGCAAACAAGTTGTCAATGTGTTAAAAGTACTTCCCCTATCCTACAATTCTGCAAAACTATTGTTGATTATACAGCATCCCAACATAAACTCGTAAGATTGCAAATATATAGCATAAGTACGAATTTCAAAGTAGGTTGCACTTGCACATTGCAAATAGTTGAAAAGTAGCAAACCTGTGCTGTAACTTGGACAAGATCTTTGGCAGGTATAATTAAAACCTGTGAAGGGGGCTTGCTAACAAACTCTGCACCAGATTTCTGTCCTCGTAAAGAACCATCCTTTATTAAGCGAGCCATTCTCAAAATGATTCCTATAATAAGATGATATAAGAAGCAGAGTCAGTCAAATACAAGGAAGTCAAACTGAAAAGAACACAGAAACATAAATTCTGGAATCGTAAAACAAAGCATAAGATTCTACAAAATTTATAAAATTCATATATAGGTGCATATAAATTCATGTATATATGCATATAAGCTAGCATAAATAAGAGAGAAAAATACATTATAACGCACAAAAAAAACTTAAGCTTAATTTCTTAATCATAGATTCATAAGAATAAGAAACTTAGAAACTGAGTTTGGGATTGACATCTTCAATCAGCCAAACACCGGAACAGGGATACTGTCAAATGCGAACCAGTGAATCAGAAAAATAACTCACAGCAACAGTAGCACTGAACCAGAACAAATGAACAATAGATAGCAGAAGCGAGAACACAAAGAAAGAGAACCAGTGAACCACAAACAGAGCCGCAGAGACAGAGGAACAAACAGAGAGATAGAGTCAGAGATGACCTCAGACGTGGTGGAGAAGAGCTCCAGACACGGCAAAGGAGAGCACCGGTTGCAGTGTTTCGGCAGCAGTTTTGGGTTAGGGTTTGAGAAATGTTGTAGAAGACACATCGAAGTCAGGAAAGGCATTTTTCTTGAATCTTAGTGTTGGGCTAGAGTATAGAGTAGCTTGGTTTTGGCCATTGGGGCTTGGATTTTGCAGCCTTAGGTTTTCAGAAGCCCAAAACAAAAACAAAAAAAAAATGAAAATTAAACTTGACCCAAAACTTGAAGGCTGACGCAAAAAAAGAAAAGAGGGAAAAAGACTGGCCCAGCAAAAAAATTGTTTATTCCACCGTTTCTGCAGTCGTACACAGTTAGTTTAAGTGTTCAACAATTCTGGTCATGAGCAATTCTAACCATGGACAAACACTCCCAGGGACGGGAAAAGCTACATGATTCTACAAGACATGCAATTCTAACTACCATGGTCAAATACTCTAACCTAAGGTAGTTAAAATCAAGATTATACCTAAGATCAAGAGGGAGGTGAAAACTCGTAACTCAGGGATCATAACTTGGATCAAAAGATCCTAGGTTCCTACCTAAAATACTTATATATAAAACATTAAACATGTATAAACATAACATAGATACCGAAAATAACCAATAAATTACAACATTAAACAAACTTAAATTAAAAATTCATAATCATAATAAATCATAATTTCATAATATTCAATTAATAGAATTAAAATTCATAATAATATGTCATGTTTTATTTAGTTTTTTTTACTATCATTTAGTTCACTACATATTATGTTATGTTTTACATAATGTATTATATTTTTATTACTATTGTTCTTATTTGTTTTTTTAATGCATTACATGGTGTACTTATTTATAGAGAGAGAGAGAGAGAGAGAGAGAGAAGCTAAACTTAACCCAAAATAGGGGCCTAATAACAGACTAAAACAAAAAAATAATAATAATATACACTTAAAATGTTGGGCCCATTAGCCCAATTCTCCCAACCCTAATCCTTTCTTAACTTTATCCCAAAGTGCCATCATGCAGAACACAGCTCACTACTGTCTCCCATCTTAAAAGATTTGACTGCAAATGTGAAGAGTAGAATGTAGCTTCACAACGACATAGAACCACACTGCTGCAGAGGCTCCTGTCGGTGACACAGGTTGTGGTGACAGCATAGCTTCAACATTATTAAGCTGCTGCAATGGCAAAGGGGTCGCAAATACGAAAGGAGATAGGCGCGCAGCAAATGGGAGTGTTCCTCAAATGGAAGGATTTTTTTTGGCCTTTTCAAGATCACAAGGGATCGACAATCATACTTTGCCAGAAAAATCGTGATTCTACTAAAATCCTGCCTCCCGGAACTTCTATCGTGATTTTAACAGCATTACTCTAACCTATAAAAAATTAATTACGAAAATAGGAAGCAGGAAATAACAAATTATTCATAAAAGAAATAAATGTCCTAAATAACAGGCTTATCCATTTTGCTTCAGTTAGCAGTGCAATAATACAAAAAAAAAGTCTTCAATATCACCAAAATCAATAAAAAGAAAATAACAGAACATAACATACCAAAATCTTTGTCTGCATTTGTTGCATGAAATATTCCAGAATATATGGATCCATTTTTCACCTGCACTTCCACCTGGTGCCCAATAAGACATGTTGTTACATATACTATTCGGTCACGGGAAGGACTCTCAAAACTACCACCTTTACTGCCAGTCACTGCACCTGTAACAACTAACAAAATATCCTACTGTGAATGCTGCGACAATTAAAATAAGAATACATGCAAGTCAGAAGTTTACCTGTATTTGCCAATCTGCTGGCATTTAATTTCCCATAAAGGATCTTATTCTCTGATTTAGTTGCCCCTTCTCTTTCAGATTTTCGGCGGCCATATCCATTGGAGGATTTAGGCTGCCCAGCTTGTTGCAAATTCATCCTCACTTACAGCCCCTTCCCCTCTAATCTAGAAAAAAAAAAAAAAATAGTAAATCAAAGACATACATTCTATGAAAGATAGCAAAAGAAAGAAAAAGTACATATTCATAAGACAATAATCCCCAAAGACATAAGATTCCAAGACAGAAAGTTATGAAATAAAGCTGATTTTCCAAAAGAACATAATAGAAGAGGCACTGCCGCAATGCCAATGGTAACTCCTAAATGGTATTTATTGAAGCTTAAATGACACGTGTTAAGAAAAAGACAAACAATATGACTCAGTCAAAAACTTGAGGATTAGGGGGGGAAGTATGCCTTCCCATACACATGACTGTGAGGGGAATGCCCCAAACACGACTGTGACGGCCATTTCCAAGTGGTATTCAAAAAAAGGCCTATATTATACAAATTATAAAAATCAAACTAATTACTCAGATAACAACAAATAAGTCTGGCTCAATGAGAAACTCATGTCTGGGGGGAAATTACCCAGTTACCCCTCCTGAGTCCCGTAAACTCCCATTCCAACCACAGGTGAAGTCCTGATATTACCTACCCTCACTCCCTTGAGGCAACGACCCTTTCTAACGCCCGTTTGAAACCACTTTTTTGCCAAAGAAAATAGATGGCACAACAGAATTAGGGGTGCTTTTATTCATGCATGGTTGCTTGGTAACACTGAAAGGGAGAGGCAAGAAATAAAAAATAAAAATAAATAAATAAATAAAAAGTGGTGGGCCCCATATGTTCTTTTCGCGCTGAGTACTGCACAAAAATATCCCAACACTTAATCGATTAAATTTTACAACTTAAATTGATTACATTTATTATTTAACAAATCGAAGCATATAATCGCATATTCATGCTCCATGGATGGCAAATTTAATCAATTGACATTCCTGAACAATCGATTGAAATTTCTAAACAATCAATTGAACCTTTCTAATCTATTGTAAATTGAAAATAATCGATTAAAAGAGGTGTCAACACCCATTGCAAGTGAGTTATTCCTTAAGGGCAAAAATGAAATTTATTTATTCTTATAATTCCTTTATTCTCTTAATCTCTTTCCATTCAAACAAACATTTTCACAACATTATTTCTCTTCTCTCTCCCTTCCATTTCTCTGGAACCAAACAACTCAATATTCTACTCTGGTCCTCACCTATTTCTTTCTACTTGTTTTTTCCTTCCTACCAAAGGGACCCTAAAACAGAATCCCATATAACCTCAAAGCAGAATCGCATATCTCTAACTTAAGAGTAACAAACTATTTATTATAATATACATGGCAAGGCTCTTTGAAAAACAAAGTTGAGCAGATGAATTACAAAAAATGAGAAACACAAAAAGCACCGTGTAGGAAAAACTATCACACATTGACAATGATCCTAGGAGGAGTTGCAGATTGGGGACGTTCTTTCCTGTGTTTTTGGTCCCCCGACGCATACATACGTGGCATCAACTCCGTACATTGCCGACGTATTTAAAGTTTGAAGCTGTTGATGGTTTAAAGCAAATAACATATAACGTAAATTCCATTATTTGAAACCCTAGAAGGAAAGGAAATATTGGAAAGTGAAGTGGCTTGTTTTTACAGTATTTAGAGTTCCAAAAGCAGAAAGAAATAGTCCGTGGTGGTCGTCCTTTGGGGTTGTCCTAAGGTGAAAACCCTAATTGGCGAGCAGTTTGAACAGCCTCAAAAGCATACATAGAAATAAATAGCTAACAGAATTGAATTGGAAAGAGAAAGCGCAGGTGAAGAGGAAGTAACGCAGCTACCTGTAAGAGGTTGATGAGAAGCTAATTGGCGGATACCAGCAGAGGTTGAGGAGAGGAGAGGAGAGGAGCTGAAGAGGGAAGGTTGCGTCGGTTAGGTATTGATTGTGATGGTTTGGAGGCTGCGGCGGTGGGAGGATGAAGTCGCCGGAGAAGACGACGGAGAAGGAAGCGGTGGAGGAGTATGGTTCTCTCGGTGTGATCGAGAGAGAGAGAGAGAGAGAGAGAGAAGAGAGAGAGAGAGTGGTTTTCTGATATTTAGAAGAAACAAAGAGCAACGAAGGAAGCAGAAACAAAACAAAAACCAATTAATTAATAAATTATCTGCTGCGCTTCGGAATATCCTGCTCCTGCGCTTTCTTCTTTCATTTTTTTTCTACTACTACCCATAATTCGAATCTATGAGTCCAACAATTTAACTTTAACTTCAACTTACCAAAATATTATAAAAAATAGTAAAAGTTAATATTTTACGTATATTAAATATTTATTATATATAAATACAATTTATAATAATTTATACATGTATATATATATTATATATTTTAATACAAAAAGTATATTAATTTAAAATTATATAAATAAATATTTTTAATAAATATAATTATATTTTATATTTATAATAAATAATTTATATAGAGATATGTGAATGTTTTTAAATATTGATAATTTATTTTTAAAATATTAAAATCTAATTTAAAAATAAATATTAATGTAAAAGAAATATATTGTATCTCCGTATATTTTTTATTTAAAAGTAAAAATAAAATAAAATATTATATTTCAACTTCTTTATAAAAAAGGTGACGATATGGGTACTAAAAGTGAGGTTAAATTCTTTATTCATGTAAATGAATTTATTAGTGAAATAACTTACTGGTGCACCACCAAGTAACTTACTTTTATGTTAATATAAAATATATAATTAATAATATATTGATTTATACAATTTAACTAATGGTTCATTAGTTTTATCAATGATCTATTAATTTAGTGTCGTGATTGAAATGATCATTGGTTTGATTCTAATAACACTGCTAAAAACTCTTTTGTGAGAAAAAAAATACTTAAAAACACATTCATTAAACGAGAGATTCTTAAAAATATTTTTGTGCGAAACAATTGTTAGTATTTAATATATAAAAGTGCATTTCTAAAAACTTGTTAATATTAAACTTAATTTTATCATTTTATAGTGATAAAAAAAATTATGAATATTTAAATCTTTTAGATTATGAAAATGTTATAGTTTAAAATGATCGAATTTTATATGCTTGAATACATATTTAAATTTATAGATTATCATATAGTATGAAAATATTTATTAAATACTAATTTATTATATACAAAATTAATAAATTTACCTAATGTGTTATTAGTCCAAATGAAAAAAAAATGTCATTGAGATGACCCACTAATAATAATTAGTCGAATTTTATTAAGAACTAGTTATTAATAAAGTTTGTTGATATTTTATATCAATAATGTGGTAACTAAAAAAATCAGTATATATTAATAAAAGCAAAAATTATTAAACTATAAATAAACTAAACGAATCAACTATTGTCTGTATTTAGTGATAGGTGGGTGAAAGAGGCCCAATTTGCGAACTCACTGATTATGATGAGGATTATTGGCTTGCAAAACCACCTTGATGGCTACACATTTCAAAAACCATATAGAATTGCAAAATACAAGAGTTTAGTAACAAGTTTAGAACTCCTTTTGAGATTTTCTTTACCAAAAAATTCACTATTTTTCATAGAAAAACTCTAAAAACATTTTTAACTTTATCCAAATAGAATCTCAGTCATGATGGGATCATTGAAAACTAAAACAACATACATACAAATATCAAGCATATGGATGAACTTGTAAATACAAAAATACAAAAACAAAGACATGACCCTAAACCTTTGAAATACTACAATGTGATGCTTACCCAGTTTTCCCTCATCATCCAAGAATTCCCGTTGTTAACTATAATCTGCAACGCAACTCTAGTTTTTGTTTGCAACGCAATTTAATTGGGCTTTAGTTTATCAACCAAAGGATCGGTCCAATAACCTAAACCCATCTTGCGAATTTGTGGGCTGGCCCATCAACGCTGTTTACAAAGCAAGTAATTTTCAAGCGGACGAGGGGAAATTTTAATAAATCTCGTAAACACTCTTTCACATG